CTGCCATCCTAGCCAGTCCATCCTCCTCAAGCTCAGAGAGATATTTAGAAATGTCGCCCCTTCACAGATTAAAACCCATCAGTGCCTTTTCGTTGACTGCCCTTAAGAGAAACTCCTAACTCTGACCAGCTAGGGCTTCAAGGTCCAGCTCTTACCAGCCTTTCCAACCTCATCTCTTATCTTTTGTACCTTGTCCCTCCCTGCCTCAGCCCACCTACTCCATCACATACACAGACACGCACAAACACACACACAAACATATGTACTCTGTGATCCAGACCTATCGAACATCCGGGTCTTTCAGTGAACTGCGCTCTTGAAACCTTTACCTAGCCTGTTCCCTATCCCTTGAAAACTCTTCTTCCCAATCATTCTTCAACACTGACCTTCCAGGTGAGTTCCCCTGGGAAGTTTTCCCAGAGCAACCTAGCTGGGGGTGCCATTTATACTCAGTGTTTCCTCCCTTCAGTGTGGTTATCTGTTTACCTATGTGAAGACCTGTTCCTAACAGATGTGCAGTCTGGACAAGATGACAAATAGAAACCCCTGGACTGTGGTTTGCTTTCTCCTTTCTTCCTATTCATGACTGAGAGGAACCACCCATGCATTTTCTTAAAAATATGTTTTTATTATTGACTTCAGAGTGAAAAAGAGAGAGAGAGAGAGAGAGAGAGAGAAAGAGAGAGCCTTGATGTGAGAGGGTTACATCAATCAGCTGACTCCTGCACACCCCTTATTGAAGATCAAGCCCACAACCCGGGTATGTGCCCTGACCGGAAATCAAACCAGCAACCTCTCAGTCCATGGGACAATGCTCAGCTAACTGAGCCACACCGACCAGGGCTCACACAGGCATTTGGATACTGCCATTCATATACCCAGACTCTACCACAACCCCTTTCTTAGTTACTGCCCCAGCCATCCATGGGCCTGGCAGAGTTTGCGAGGTCAGTGTTGTCTGTTGTAGGGAGCTGGATCTGGAAAAAGGATAAGCCGTTACTGAGAAGCTGCTGGAACTGCTGAGGCAGAAAGTCCATGGGCTCCTGGAGAAGGGGTGGGGACAGTGTGCTTAAGTGGCAATTGTGTCATTGGCCCCAGGACTCCTGGCCCATGGCTGCAGTGGGGCCTCATAGAGCACAGGTGTAGTGACGGGCCAGCTTGCCTGCCTCCCTCTCCATGAACGTAAGCTCCTAAAGACGTACCATGCAAGCTGGATCGCTACATCTGTTACACAGTCCTTGGCACTGCGTGCAGTAGCTTTTCAATAAACATTGACTAAATAAATTAAATGCAATACAAAGTTTGGGGAGCCAGAGGGGGATTGCCTAAGGATTAATAACAATATATTTAGTTCAGCAAATATTTACGGATCCCTCATGGGTGAGGCACTGTGGGAGAGTCAAAGATGGCCCAGTGGGGGTCCCCACACTTAACTGCTTACAATCAGAGAGGTGATGTTATAGATCGACAGGTAGAGTGCCAGGCAGTTGGATGTATAAGCTCATGGCGGAATGCTTACGGACAGCCGTTTCTTACAGGAACATTTTTAAAGAAAAATGCTGATTAGTAGAGAGTGAATGCATCTTCATAGCTGTTATGGAGTCAGGACAAGGATACAAATAAAACCAGTTTTGGTGCAAGATTTGATTATGATGGTTGATTGAGCCACTAGTAAGACTTTCTATATGTTTGAAACATACTTCATTTTAGTAACACCTCCTATTTATTTGTATTTTTACCTGGCAACTGTGGGATGTGAATAACCTTTTTCCCTTGTCCTTTGTCTTCAGCCTCATAACCTCCTTGAATTATCTTACCTGCCTGGGCGATGTGGGGCCCTGTGAGCTGCAGACTGAGCTCTTCACAGTGAGGCTGCGCCTCGCGTCTGTCACAGTGTTTATTACTGTTCCTTGTACAAAGCATGTCATTCACTCCGCTACAGGAACAGAGACGTGCGTATTTGCTGGCAACCATGCACACAAGGAGCAAGGCACACATCGATGATCGAAATTGCACTTCTCAAAAACTGGGAGATCGCAACCGTATGTATTTATGTTATTTTTCAAAGCCTCGTGGGTAAATATGGCCCCTGGCCTTGAGGTCCTCTTTAGCTGGCCGCATTTGATTGCAATTGTTCGTCTTCTTGGGAACCTCACCTGTAATCGCGTGTATTCTCGAGAAAGCTTGCTGGGTGTTTTGACACAACGTGCTGCTGCTTTCAAGCTTCAAATCACAGATTTCATCCTGTGGACTTTGCTCATTTCCAAGTTTTTTTTTTTTCCTTCGGTTTGGCTACATGAATAAACTGTTAGGCTTGTAACCTTCCTACATGGAAGCCCAATATCCAAAGTATTATTTGATCGATATCTTCATGCTTTAATGGTCTCCAGTTATCCCTCTCCATTTCAGTATTACAGGTCATCGCTAACAAACTTCAAAGGCCTCCCAGGGGAACGTAGATATGCTACGACTTATCGCGTTACCTGGAATAGATGGCGGGCTCGCTGAGGTTTGGGAACTTGTTGCTCTGCAGAGACTCACAGAAAGTATGTTAGGCTCTCTCAGGGTGCACAAAAGAGCCATGGGCTCGGGTTACTTCCAAAAGGTCATGGGATTCGTTGCACATGTCAATTAACCTGGGTTCTTTTTTATCCTTCCTTCATTACGGTGGAGGCTCCCCTATCCGCCCCCCTGTTCTGGCTCGTCCTCATTCGAGCTGCTGGGCTCATGGTATTCACCGCCTCCAGGGAGAGGTAGCGCAACAAAAAGCAAAGGAAAGGAAAGTCTCTGGGTTCGGTGTCAGGGTTCTAGTATCCTACAGCGAGAGGAATAGGCAGGGCTCAAAATATTTAAAAAGCAGGGGGAATTAAAGCTATCACCTCTACCCCCATGTAGACACCAAGATAATCTTGGGCTTCCCAAGAGGGTGGCAAGAGGGGTGGGGAGGAGCAAACCAAATGCAGGGGACATGTGCAACCTGCAAGGGGGGCTGAGAGTGACCACGAGGCAGTAGGGGCATCAGGTTCTTGCACTGGCCTCTCCTCTTTTAATTGTCTCTGTCACCAGCAGCTGGAGCACCTGTGACCAACCTGTCAGCCTCCACAGGTCATCCGGTCCCACTCTGAGCACGTGACCTCCTAGCCATGCTGCCTCTCCTTTCCAGGGCTCCCGCAAAGGCTTGGCCATGACAACACTTCCATCCTTGGCGACCCTCTGGAATAACCATGGCAATCTAGTCTCTGTAACCTAACCCAAGTTTCCATGACCCTGAACACTCATGAACCCTCGAAGAAGGACGGGTATGTGGATGAAACTGGGCTCAGAATTCCCCGCCCCACCCGCATCCCACTTCAGCCCTGGGCCAGGCAGTAGTAAAACACATTCTTAGGTAGAAACTCATCAGGAAGCTAGGAAGTCAGGAAAGCATCCTGCTTTAGCTCAGCCAAGACTCACAGAGACCAGAATATCATCCATGAGATGATGCAAAACCAGCCTTCAGGCCATGTTGTCCCTTCAGCAGCTGACTCATGCCAGGGCTCCATGGGGGTGGGTGATGCAGCTACTCTGCTCTGTAGCTGGGTCTCTGGTTCACCTGCTCCTGCTGTTAGGAGCCAATCACGAGGGTCTGGAGTTCCAGCTACTCAAGTGGCAGTGCTGATTGGTCAGCTCCCGAGGAGGGGCTGGACTGAGCTCTCAGGTCAGGCCACATCCCTGATAGGCAGGCCTCAGGCCAGTTTATGAGTTGGCTGCTATTGCACAGAGCACCAATCACTAGCCAGACCCAGTAACGCCAAACACAGAAGAGGGACTGTGGGTGTGGCAGTTATCCTGACACCTCACAGAAAGGGGCAGGGTAACTGGCAGGTGCTTTACATTCCAGGCCAAGAAAGGGCATTGGGGTTAAAAGGCTGTCCTCGTTCTCAGTGTCTAGGAGCCAAACCTCAGGGGTGAAGCCATCTGACCAATGACATACAACTCATTAGTGGCTGAATTGGAGATGGAATCTGGTTCTCTTCATATTGTAGAAGTGGAGGCATGGAATATAAATACAAACTGAGGGGCATGCCAAGTTGCCAAAATCCCAACATCTTTGTTCTGATAGAAACGCAGCATCACTGACCATTCGGCAGGCACAACACCCGAGAAAGGGAGGACCTGGGTCTCCAACATAGTGGACGGCACATCAAGGAACAGAGGCTGAGTCTCCTGGATTGGAAGCTTCCTAGATCGCCTTAAACCCAGCCAGCAGCATCTCTTCCACAGGACAGGAAGGAGGACACAGAGGCCACCAGGATCACTGATGGATGTGCCATGTTGAGTGCTGGACACCGTAGGACTTGGCCAAGCACCTCTTCCTGCAGCCTCTTCTACACAGAGTTGTCTTGAGTTGCCCTTTCTGTTCTGGGGAGATTGGTTACATCATTGCCCAAGGATATGAATGTGAACTATTCGAGATGTTTTACAGGCACTTCTGTGACAACTCCATATACACATACTCCAAATTTCATGCTAAAAAGAACAGTGCTTTGGAGGGAAATAGTGTCCGGAAAATCGAGACAAAATCTTTGGAACTTTCTCATTAAAGACCCAGCAAAAAGAATAACAACTCTCATAACTATGTGGGCACAGTTAACTTTAACCACCTTAGCACCCAGTACCACACTCGATCATTTGCAGTTTTAAACCTTTACCCCAACTTCCTCCTTACAGATGTAAGTCTTTGAAAGCGTGTGCTTTTAATACAGACCAGTTTCATCAAAATCGAAAATCAGACCCTTTGTTTTAGTACAGGAGGAAATATCTTGTTAGCTTCTTTCCCCATACTCTCAGCCACCTCAGATAGCTTAACACATTGAAAAATGTAGCCACGCCTGAGGCCACTAACGCAGCCATTGCTAGCACCAAAGGAGGTCAGTTCTACAGGATTTCCAGCTTTTTTCTTTAAAGGTTTCCTATCTGGCCAAACCTTTCTCTTTCATGGGGAGGGAACTTGCTTCTAATTACTTCAAAACATGAATGTGCCTGGGAAAATAGTAGGCAAGTCCACATGACCCCTGCATTACACTGACATCATGCCCTATTTACCAATTTTGTTTCAGCCAAATCACATTAAATAAACATACGCTGGAATAGACGAGGCTGTCATGCTTGAATCCTTCTGTTTCTGGGGCAGAGGAAGCTACGAGAACAGCGCCATTCTCACCGGTGTGTTGGCAGTCCTGCCGGCAGCTGGAAATGGAACCCCACATTGTAGATAATGAGCAGCAGCTGAAAGCACGTTCACGCACGTCACAGTGAGCCCTGACTTTCCGGGAGCCGAGTTGGGTATTATTGAGCTGAACGGCTTGACTGAAACAGATGCAGAAGAGAGGTGTCAGAAATCGAGCAAAGGAGGGGGATGGAGTCATGTTTTCTGTCAGGTAGAGATCAGGGCTCTCGAATGGAAACCAGAGCTCAAATCCTCCAAGGCTGGCAATCAGAGATGTCGGTACAATGAAGGCAGAAACACACCTAGAGCTTCCATCTCATCAAAACACATATGAAAGAAAACAAGGAGGTGGGAGAAGATGGGATCAGCTGGGTTGTCCCAATCACGCGAACACTGATGGTGAGCAGGAATAACGAAAGGAGCAACGTTCTCACCACGACTTCAAACTCAATGAATGTTGTGTCCTAGTTCTTTGCACAATAACCTCCTGCACCCCGTGGCACACGGCGCACTACGGGGCGTATTGCTCTAGTGGGACCATCGGGCACACTTAACTCAGCAACGTGGAGAACCCTCCCGCGGTGCCGTCTCAGCACCAAGGAGAGTTCCAAGTCAACCTGAAGATCTGCCGTTCTTCCACACTTTTCCTTTTGAGCGGCTAAGGAAAACATGGCCCAGCTGACTCCTCCGTCCAGCTTTTGGTGCATGTGTGCTCCAAATGGATTCCAGTTCCACACTCAAATAAGTCATTGTGTTCCCCAGATCATCTAAGCCCGCCGCCCACTCATTGCAGCAGAATGCTGTTCCAGATTTGTTTCAGATCCAGGGTAGGACAAATGTGTAAGAATTAAATTTAAGGAACCATAGAACTGTGAACTCCTACCTGAGGACAGGAACGATGGTGATGCACCATTCCCCATGTGTGATCGTGGGTGCATGCACCGTGTGTGTGTGTGTGTGTGTGTGTGTGTGTGTGTGTGCATACACGTGTGCGTGTGTGAGTAAAGTCAGTCCAACCTCCACTCGTGAAAGCTAGTCTAAGAGGACAAAAACATTCCTCCTTGGCCCAATAATTTTGAAGTTGAGACATTATTTTTTTTTTTTTTATCCTCACCTGAGGACATTTTTTATTTTTTGTTCAGATAGAGTGGGAAGGAGAGAGGAAGAGAGAGAGAGAGAAACATCAATGTGAAAGGGACACATCGAGTGGCTGGCTGCCACCTGCACAACCCAACCTGGGCTGGGGACAAACTGCAATGGAGATACGTGCCCTTAGCGGGAACCGAACCCGGGTCTCTCTGGTCTGCAGAGTGACACTCTAACTGCTGAGCCAAATCATCCAGGAGAAGTTGAGACATTATTAAATATACCGCAGGTGAATTTTTGTCTCAGTGGAAAACATGAGCAATGGGAAGTGTACAAGCACCCCGCATGGCCTTCCCACTTCCTTGTGTCTGCTCCTGTGTTTCTTCACGCGATTTGTTTTTCCCTCCCCCTAACAAGGGAACTGAAATAAAATAAGGGTGTAAGAGAAAGTGAGCTACGATTTAGATGACCTTTTTTCTTCTTTTATTTCAAAAGAATGATCTGGAACAAGGGATGCTTTTGCGAGGTAGAACAGATGACCCTCCGAGAGAACCGCACAATATGTGAGTATCATTGATTTTTCTTCCTAAGTCATTTCAGCGATACAATCTTGAGCCGAGCGACCATCGATAGTAAATGATTTCCAGCCAGACACTCAATTGTCAGGCCTGCTTCTCTCAAAGGGTTAGCACTCCTGGTGAAAATAGTACATGGGTTTTGAAGTACCATGTAATAGAAGACATAAACTTCAGAAGATTTTTACTTATTATAATAAGCTCTACAACTGGAATTACAAAGGACAGAGGGAAAGGGAGATACAATTCCTGCTAGATCATTTTTTAATGTTTTTATTCAAGGCTTGAGAAATTACACTGACTATGATCTATTGCGTCCTAAGCCTTAAAGCCAAAAAGGGGTGATATTAAATCCCCAGGTCACAATTTCTCATATCCAAAGACACATAAGTAATAAGACAAAATTCCTATGTCTCACATAGCAGTACTGCCACCTTAAAGGTCAGTGATGTGTGACGCATGGGCAGTAGGGTCCAAGTAACATTGTGGTACAGTCCAGAGGGAGCCCCCTGAAGCTCTAACTTTAATAACTTAAAACATATTCAAGCCCAAATCCTAAGAGAATTCAATGCCAATGGCTCTCTTGAATTCTATAAAATGCCAAAGGTTTAACCACAACATTCAAGTTTCAACACAGCTCTTGGGATCCTAGTAACAATAAACAACAATCCAAACCTTCAGGTTCAATTTATAATTTCCCAATTATACATATTCATTCTCATTCTCATTCCCATTCCCATTTATTCTCTCTTCCTCCCTCCCTTCCTCCCCCCCCCTTCTCCTTCCCTCTCTCCCTTATTACCTCCATCCTTAGCGCCAAGGTGATTCTGGGCAGGTTTATGTAAGTCCTCGGAAAATCAGAATGCCAGAGGACTACACCAGATCTAATGAAAAAGAACAAACACACTCAAGTGAGATAATGATGTAGACACTATAAGGATACAATGTAAGCTTCTAATAGGTTCTCTCCAGGTCTTCTGGAAAGAGAGTAGTATTTAAATTCTTAATCAATGCAACAGAAACGTAATGGGGGCTGGGGGTACAGGGGAGAATGTGACAGGGTGCACATCCCATGCTCTTCTCCCTGAAAACCCCACAGGGCTAAGCTTTATGCCACCTGCATAAATACCATTTCCACAGGCTCATGGACTCATGAATTTTGCCAACCAGTTAGCCAGGCTTTCTCTTTTTTTATTGAAAGGCAGGTCTACTCACCAAGTAGATATTCATTAGATTTGCCAGTTCCAAACAACTCATCATCTGATATCCAGCTGATCAATTTAAATTACCACTAACTTCACTGTAATTGCTTCTCTAATTATACTGATGCTGAAAGACTTTGAAAATTACCTTGGCTTCCTTAATACTTGCTATAGCTTTAACCTCCCAAGTCTCGATTGTGGGAATATGTCCCCCAAAAGAGAAGCCTACGGAAAATAAAGGGAAAGTAGAAACGGTGAAATGGAATGACTTTTCTAAACCCAAGCTTTAGCTTTGTTAATAAGTCAACTTTGCTTTTGTCTGAAACACGGAAGAACCAAAAATAGGCTGACCCATTAACTGCAAAAGGTAGGTGGTTCAGGGGTTGACAAAGGTGCTTGACTGAGATGATGGACAACCCCAGGGACACAATCGATAGTTTGCCTCCTCTTGCGGTTTGTGCTAATTGTCACATAATAGCTTGTTTAAGTCTTCTCGCCACCCTTAATTGCAGGGTGGGTTCTCACCTTTGAACTATAATCTCCTAGTTTTAATTGTAAACAATAAATTGTCTTTCAAATGCTTTCACTTTTCTTTGTCTCCATCCTCTCAAACTGGACTCTTCCTCTGCTTGGTACAGCGGAAAGTACAGTGGTAAGCGGGGGAGAAGGCAGGGCAGACCTTGGACATAACCTCTGAGCTGTTCAGCAAATGAGAAATACAGGAAGACCTGGAAAACCTGATGGCAATAAACAGCAGGTAGTTCACCTCCCCCGAGGGGCCAGGTTCACTGTGATCTGCCTGTCCCTCCATCCTCATCTCCTCCACAAAGGCCCCAGGGGAAGGCAGTCCTGGCCATTGAAACCGTTTGTCTCCCAGAGTTTGTGCCAGACATTTCTTTTTAATTGCCTATGGGCCTCGAGAAATAAATGTTAAACCGCCGAGGTCCTTCAACTAGTTTTAATGTGAATCGAGAGCCGATCTCTCAATCCACTGGGTAACATTCCCATCCAGTTCTTTGTAGATCATTCAGGGCCATCAATCACTCCTGCAGTGGCTCCTTCTCAGAGGAGATGTGGGGAAATGATCATGTTTTATGTGAGTAATTAATCCTGTGGCAGACGTAGAGTTTCCAAGACTACTACCATTAGCACGCTGACAGGCTTCCGAACACGTACCCCAGCCCTGGTTAGTAATGATTTTAATATGCTAATACTAGGTTACCCATAAAGAAGAAACATTCAGGCCTTAAGTTTTCTATAAGTGCCATTATTTGCAAAGGCTTTTCAGAGAGCACCAGTGATGAGGTTTTTATATTCTTAAAGCTGCTGTTGAATAAACAGTGTCCAATTAACATACCAGCTGGAAGTACACCATTCCTCAGTTCTATTTCTTCCTATAATATTCGACATTGGTAAAGTGAACACAATAATTCAGAGTGAAACTAATGGCCGTTTGGGGAAGGGAAGAACAGGAGTTCTGTGGTGGATTATTTTTCTAGCAATGAGGCTTTTGGAAATTACAAATATGACAAATAGAGCTACCAAAGAAAATGGGGAAAAAAGATACTGGCTGCATTGAATCACTTAAAAGGATTTCCTAAAAATGTGGAACTAGTATATGCACCACACTGGCCTTGTCTGGAGGCGGCTGCGTGGTTTGTCATCAGATACGTTTGCATTTTTACATTAGCTATTTATCCAGAGCTGACAGTCTATGGTCTGAGATTTGCTTTACTATTTTCCCCCTAGTTTAGGTGAGACAATAGTCCCCAGATCATCACAGTACCTTCTGTCTACCTTTTTTCTTGTCCCATTTTCTCCTTAAATATGTTTTAGTATAATAATAAATTGCTCCCCACGGTAAACAGGCTTCGTCATAATTTTGCTTCCAGCCGAATTCGTAAAATGGCCACGGTCACTGACGAGCAGTCAGTAAAACTAGCAGCAACCTCAGAGTTGCTGCCGGAAGTAACTCAAGGCCAAAACCTCGGTGTTGGAAAGTATAAGACACTGTCTCTCAGAAAATATTGTCTCTTCTGTTTTGTTTTGTTTTTTTCATTATTGATTTTGAGAGAGAGAAGAAAGGAGAGGGAGAGAGAGAGAAACAGTGATAAGAGAGAACATCGATTGGTCACCTCCTGCATGCTCCCCACTGGGGATTTGGCCCACAACCTGGGCATGTGCCCTGACCAGGAATCGAACCAGCGACCTCTTGGTGCATGGGTTGACACTCAGCCACTGAGCCACACCAGCCAGTCAATATGTCTCTTCTTGTTTCATGTTGTTAAAAAGAAACATCAGGCCCCAAATGGCATAACTTGTGCTAAGCCCCACATCAACTAACCAAGATGAAATATTTAACCCAGTTGCAACTTCAGCTTCCTAGAAATGTAACCTTTAATCTGTCAGCCTGTTTTACCTGGTCAGCATTAGAGAGAGAATCCGCCTGACAGACCTCCTCCATTTCCCTTAGCAGGGGACCTTGCCTACAATGATGCACTCCTCGGAAATGATTTCCACATTTCTGCCCCTTATGGCTTTCGCAGCCTTCCATTTGTGCAGCCCTTCAGTGTTCCTTTCTCCTTGCCAGATGGGAAGCTGCCTAATTCGCGAATCATTCAATAGAGCTAATTAGATTTTTTAAAACGTATCTACTTGAATTTTTGTTATTTAACATTTAACTCCTGTCACAAAGAAGACTTTGTAACAAAAAGGTATTTTAAAATAGATTTAGGGGGAAAAACCATTTTAATCAAATAATTCTGGCCACCATTTCCTGTGGGTTGAGACAGAGTGCCAAAAATGGAGGGGGAGGGGTGCATCAAGTAACCAGATAAGTGGAGTCCAGCGTGCTCAGTGGCGTGTCAGCCACTCAGTCTGCATGCTACGCCAGCATCTGCAAAGGGGAGTCGTACTGGAAACTCCCCTTTAGCCCAATGTAGCACACCAAGGAGAGAGGTGTGATTTGCTTAGGCATCTATGTTGTGTTCCATGAGTAAAATGATCCTTCAGAAATATCCTGCCGGCCCACCGCTTAGACACTGCACAGCAATGCTTCAGGCACAGTTCAGATAGCCTCCTCATATCCCCCAGGGAATCAGCTAGGAGATGGTGTCACACAGGGCACTGTATTCTATCCTGCAGCCACCTGGCAAACCCTCCCTCGTCTTACTTCCTCTGTCCTCTGTCTTTTAATTCAACAAAAGGGCACTAACATTTGCTGAGTGTCTGTGAGTATATACCAGGTCCTAAGCACCCTCCATTCTTATTTAATCCTCAGAACATCCTTAGGAGACAGGAATCATTTTCTCATTTCAAATGAGCCACAGCGACAATAATTAAATTGTTCCTAGCCCAGAGATCCAGTTTTGTCTGGCTCCAAATTCTGCTTTCATTGCTTCTTTCTCTCATCTTCCCTGTACCGACCACCTTCCCTGGAAATTATTCTTGAGACTCCAGCATACAATTATCCCTTTCTTGGAGAAAGTCATATTTTAGCCAACAAATTAGACGTTTATGTTATCAAAGGACATGCTCACCTTACACAATATTTGCTAAAGAGTCCATTTCAGTTGAAAGCTTCAATGGTATAACCAGAAGTTCAGAGCTACAGTCAGCTTAAACATCTGGATTTTCTCACTCCTGTTTTTAATGGTTCTTCTCTTGTACAAGGGAGATGTCAGTATAATTAGATAAGATACCTTCCCCGTAAACAGATGGGAAATCTGACCAAATTAATCCGTTTTAGTGATAACTATAAGCACACCTCAAAGACTGAACTATTGCTACATGTAGTACCTACAAGGAAATAATATGCCTGACTAATGGTGAATTAGAATTGCATTAGACCCTATACACAGCTAATCTGTGCCTTTAAAAAAATTTTTCCATTTCACTGGTCTCATGTAGCCACTGTGGGTTTCTGCAGCTTCTGTGGGTTCAGGTGAGACTGCGGCCCTCTTCCTCTGTGTCTCCAAGACGCAGGCAACATTGTTTCTCAGCTGCCTTGGGGAAATGCATGGCCGTGATCCCAAGATGATGTTTTTAATTCTTTCAATCATTCTCTCATGGCAAATTCACATTTTCAAAATATGTTGCTTCCTTAATTCGGCAACTGATTGCTTTGCACCTGCACCGTGCTGGGCAGCATGCCAGGCCCGCGGCCGTGAACCAGCTGCCAGGGTGCTCCACTCGCTCTCCTAGAGCCCAATTCTAGTTCAGGCTGCGAACTTGTTTCTGTGAAGGGCAACGCAGTAAATATTTTAGGCCTGGTGGGTCAGATGGTCTCCATTGTAGCCACTCACGTTTGCCATTGTATTACGCGTGCAGATAAGTCGGTGAGCATAGCTGTGTTTCAATGAACGATTCCTTACAAAGACAGGAAGTGGGCCAGACCTGGCCTGCCAGTGACAGTTGACTGGTTCCTGTTCTAGAAGATACAATATTATTACCACTCTCACTTTTCATTATGTATTGGTCAAGTAAACCTAGTATTATTTTAATGTATTGTTGCCACTATTGCACATGTCCTCCATGCCCCCCACTTTACTCCCCCCCCACCCAGCCCCTGTCCCCCCTCCCTCTGGCCCTTACCTCACTGTTGTCTGTGTCCTTGGACTAAGCATATATGTTCTTTGGCTAATTTCTTCATCTTCTTTCATCCAGCCCCCCCATCCTCCTCC